GGTTCCTTCCCAGGGTACTCACTCTCTCACTGGGGTTCCTTCCCAGGGTACTCACTCTCTCACTGGGGTTTTGTAGCACTTGATGCACATCCCCAGGGCAGCCTTTGCCACAGCAGCCACATACAGGGGCCATCTAGTCCTCCCTTGGGACATTACGGGCCTGTGTCAGTGTCTGGCACAGAGCAGGTGCTTGAGGATCACTTATTGAAATTTTACTTTGAATCTTACCTTTCGTCTTTTCCTTAACACCCTCTGCAGAAGATGATGATGAATACTGAAGATTCTAAGCAGATGATAAGAGAGAGGTTATGGGGTTAATAACATCCCTCAGTTACTGCAGGCTGATCAGGTCCGCAACCTCCCGCAGGAGTGTATGAGGAAGGCTGAATAGAAAGAGGTGAATGGAGTGATTTCAGGGCTCCAGGAGGATCAGAGCCTTCTCACAGAATTCGAGATTCTCTTGGGGCTAAGACCAAGACCTTCTCTGGGTGGCCTGTATTTATTTGGTTATCAGAAGAAGGGAGGGGAGTACTCAAGAAGGGCAGAACCACTCAAGGACTTCTCCAAGTAAGGTGTCAAGTTAACCCACCCAGGAGTGAGATGCCTGAGACTATAGTCTTTATCCAGTTAAAATCAGATCCAGGTGTCCTTAGCTGTGATCTTGTTTTATCCTTTGAGACTTCCTGGCTTCATCCACCACTACAGGTTTTAGTAGGGATTAGTGACTCACAGAGGTTCACTTACTATGAGTCTGCCATTTCCAGACAAGGAGCCTAAGCCTTGGACAGACTCACAAGTGAACATGAAAATCCCATTGCTTAATTTAAGTCCTGCTAAGGTCTGCTTCATAGTGGTCTCCAGCAGGAGGTAAATACAGAAACAAGGAAAATCCATAAACTGGGTAATTGTTTCTTGAGTAACTATTAACCTAAACAGTCGTTGCAGTATTTTAAAATCCTTTCCTTCCTTTTGCAGTGAAGGGAAAGCTGCTTTTATTGTGAAGGAGCTTTGTCCTGAGGATAAGAAGGACTCCTGTCATCTATACTGTAGAGAACCGGTGTCCGGATGTGCTCTGTGAAATCTCCAGGAGTTCGTAAAGGAAGCAACGAGCACCAATCCCAGGCAAACACAGGACCCGAAGAAAGATGTTTTCTCATCTGACCATTTAACACTGATGCTCTTGCACGCTGTCTCTAAACCTCCAGGTAGGGGATAGAAACTAATGGGTAGCATGCTCTGCAGACGCTCATGAACGAAGCTAAACTACAAGATGCGGAAGGGATAGACCCGTGAGTGAAGTATATTTTTGCTGGAGGTGGATAGGGTTAATGACAGGACACCAGTAGAACCACCAAATTATTAATCATTTTACTCCTAATGACAGAAGGGGTGAAGGGAATGATAATTGTATGGTAATAACAGTCATATGGTAAGCTTTGGTAAGCTTTCATCTGATCTCCTCAAGTGGAAGACCTGGAAAGTGCGAACCAGTTCTGTCTCTGATCCTTCCTGGCAGGGAGATTTGAAATAAGTCATAACATTTTTTCTGAGCTGTTTTCCTGGTGACACCTGCGTCACAAGGTTAAAGGGAGTGCGGTATGTGAAGGGACTTTGGAGACTGAGGTGATATCTACAAGTTAGGACCATTACCAGGGTGGTGGAGAGAGAGGGAGGGAGGAAGAGCGTGGAGAACTATGGGTGAGTCACCCTTAGGCCTCCTCTAACTGAAATCCGTGTTTATCCTATGAAAGCAAGGTTAATAATATCACCCAATAAGGCCCGAGTGCTCAGAAGTTAGCCTGGGACAGGTTGGGTCTGCCGGAGGGTTGATCGGGACGGCACTGCTTTTAGCCTGTGGCTGGCTGGCAGTTTGTGCTCTGTGATTACCTGCTTTGGAAAGAGTCTAAATTGGAAAGCTGTTTCCTCCATTTAAACCATTTCTGCAGAATCCCATGGCGTTGATTATAGTTCTTACACTCTGCAACTGGCTGTATTATTCTTGACTCATCTCCAGACTCGTAAATATCTCCCCGAAAACAGAGACTTTAAAAGTTCTGTCTTTTAACCTTGTGCCTTCACGTGTCTTGGGTAATAGCCAAGACGTATAGCATCTTGCCTGCCCTGTCCCTAAACCTGTCCAGAAGCAAAAGCCTTGATAAATTCCCTTTAGCTCTTTCATAAAAGAGGCAGGCAAGTATAGGACAGTTTCTCTGTGTGACCTTGGGTGTTCTCTACAACTTCAGAAAGGGAGGTAATAATAACTACTCTGGAGGCTGCCGGGAGCCTGAGCAAAATATAAGGAAGAGGACCTGGTGTGTGGCAACTGTCCAACTGACATAACTGCTGTTATTATTTTTACTACGAATAACATAAAAAGTACTCTTTACAGAATAGCACTTGAAATAAGTCCTAGAAGAAATCAATCTATACTTAATAGTCAAGAGGCCATCTATGATTATTTTCTAAAGGCTGATTTATGAGAAAATCTCTACCCTAGAGAGAGAGAGAGAGAGAGAGAAATGTTAGCATACAAAAATCTAAATAACAATACAATAGATGGAAAACTATTAAACAATATAGCTCAAGATGCACAGCATGTACCTACAGTTGTTTATTATTATTATTGTTATTATTTAGTTGAGCAGATGCTTGGGGTGTCTGTCTGTAATGCACTGAAAACAGCCTGAACTCATACCGCGCGATGACCGTGGTGTAGGACAGGAAGGCTGCCTCTGATGCTGTGGAGCACCCTATGTGCCAGCGGGTCGTTAGGCCAGCAGACTGCAAATCTGTAGTCAGGAGCTTTTGGAGTGGTCAGATACGCGCTAGCGCCGTCACTCACCGGGGCTGGGGACCTATGCTCGGAGTTTCACGTCTCCTTTAAGACCTTGAGCCTCGTTTAAATGGTGATGTCCTTGCGCCATCCATCGCTGACACAGTTTGTATGGGTGAGCTTGGCCCAGGTTTGCAGGCTCATGGGGAAGCTGGGGAAACGCTCAGCCACTCTGTAAGGAAGGAGAGGGGACGGGTGGAGCTGGGGCTCTCGGGGGCAGTCGCTCTGCTGGGGCTGGGGTCACCTTGCGTCCCGAGTGCGGTTCTCTGCTCCATGCCCCTCTTGCGCGTGCGGCAGTGACTGTACTCACGGAGGCGGAGCGTGCGTTCTCTCTGCTGAGCTCCTCGACGGCGGGGACGCGTTCTGAGAACGGATCTCATCATGGTGTGAGCAGCAGCTCAGCGCCCCAGAGCGCAGGGAACGGACAGCGCGAGGTGAAGGCAGGAGAGAAAACGATGGCGTCGACAGACCCAGGAAACACGGGCTGTCTGCGGCTGCCGCTGGCTAACACAGCGTGCTGTTTTATGCTTGACTTTTTTAGAGTTAGTAATAAACTTTAAAATTATGATAAAAGTATAATATAGTAAGTACACAAACTAGCATCATAATCTATTATCCTTACCAAATGTCAGGTGGGGATGGGGGTGTAAATGAACATGTTTTTTGAGATAAGGTCTCATGATGTAGTTCAGGCTGGCTTTGAACTCACCATTTAGCCCAGGCTGCCTGCGAACTCATAGCGATTCTCCTGCCTCAGCCTCCAGCGTGCTGGGCTTATATGCCTGAGCCATGTATGTACTGTACTTTTACGTGCCTGGTGGTGCAGTAGGTTTGTCTCCACAAGCGTCAACGCCAGCACGTGGGTAACGTGTTACATCATGAAGGTTACGATGTCACAAGCTGATGGGAATCTTTCAGCTCACGTGTCACTCTCCGTGGCCTCTGTGATGGACGTGGTCAGTCGTCCACAGGAACTGCTGTGGCGCGTGCCTGAGTTTGCTTGGGAAACCAGGAAGGACAGGAGTTAATCAAGAGCAGGAGGCCTTGCCAGTGTGGAGAGCGAACATCCCGCCTGTTTGGAAGGCCTTGCCTCTTCATATAAATAGTCTCTGGGGCCTTAAAAACATTGAATACAACAAACAAAAGTGTAATGAGCATTTTAAAGCCTAAGCGGATAATATAGTTCCTCTGGCAGGAGAATTATTGTGTAACGTTAAATCATTTTTTTCATAAAGATACATTCCTTTTTAAACGGAGCAGGAACGAAGACTGAACTGGAAAAAAAGTTATTTGAATAGTATTTGAACATGAAGTTTCACGGGCAGTGTGTGGTTTATGGAGCTACAGATGAGGATCTGAAAACAAAAAGTAGGTTTATTGTCAGTTTTCATTAATCACAGAATTTCTTTTGCATATCACCTCTTGTGTGTGTCAGTTCCCACCGGCAGGAGGGGCAGGACCCTGTCTGCTCCACGCTGTGCCCACCGCCCAGCAGTCGCCGGCATGTGGCTGCGGTACGGCGACTTTGCAGCCCGGTCTTACCCGCTGCTCCTCACCCTTTCCCTAAATTGCCTTTATTAGAAGAACTAAAATAAAGGTATGTGAAGCTTGTTTAAAATTAAAACTCAGCGTAGACTGGTACAACCACTAAGGAAATCAGTGTGGAGAGTCCTCAAAAAACTAGGTTTAGAGGTGCCATTCAACCCAGCTACTCTCCTTCTGGGTATTTTTCCAGAAAAAAATGAAAACATCATACTGCAGCGGTATATGTGCACCCATGTTCATAGCAGCACAATTTGTCATAGTTAAATCTTGGAAGCAACCCAAATGTCCATCAACTGAGGAATGGATAAAAAAAGATGTGGTATTTTTATTCAATAGAGTATTACTCAGCTATAAAAACAGATAAACTCGAGGCTTTTGTAGGTAAATGGATGCAACTAGAGACCATACTCATAAGTGAAATAAATCAGACCCACATTTGTAAACATTGCATTGTCTCCCTAGTGTAAGAAACTGAAAGGGTAAATAAAATCTGAAAGGTACAATAGATACTGTGAAAGGGAAAGAAACTGCTCAAACAGGAGGAACAACTGGGATGAGGGAAAGGAGAAAAGAAAGAAGGAAGGGAAAAAATGTATATGTGTATACATAGGATAGCTAGGACAGTTGCACTGCTGATTTCTACTGGCCTTGAAAGGAACAGTTAATGTTTAAATTTTTTTCTTCTTTTTAATTTTTTTTACTGATTTTTCAGGCTTATTTCTGGTAATCTGCACAACTAATTTGAAGACAACAATATGCAATATAACAGCCATTATTGAATTCCTATCATCTTGCTTAGTGAAATTCTGTATCATTTCTAATTTTTTAAATTTTTTATTCTCTTTAAAAAAAATAAAAACTCAATCCAGATATGAAATCATATATGATAATCATGAAGATCTTCTCTGCTAGATACAGGTTAGTGTAGTTCTATGTTTTCAACGTCTGCCATTTTAAAATAGATGATTCAACCTTATCAGATTATTTTTAAATGGCATCAATCAATTAGCACCTTCGAACCGAGTCTGGAAGCAAAATATAATTTTTCTGAGGCTCTATTGGTAAAGCTCTTAACCCTTCATATTCCCCAGAAGAGCCTGAAGCTTTCTGGGCTCTCACTAGCTCCCCGCCATCGATGATTTAATTAGAGTGTGCATTATTCGAGGCTGCCCTTTCCAACGCTGCTGGACGCAGGCAGAGGTAGGAGTCTGAACCAGAACGGACTGAAGCTCCCTGCCCCCACCCTGAGGAGTTAAATCTGCAAGTCCTGTTGTTTAGTGGCAGTGAGTCAGACTCCTGTGCTGACTGCTAAAGACCTGCTTTTATACAGAAGTCCCTGCCGGGCCTTTACATATTGAAATGAATCATTGTCGCCTCTGTCAGCTTTGCTCTTCATTTGCTTGATGTATTTCATCCTCATTTGGAGGCAGTGAGAATCACCAACCTATTGTATTTATTATCATATTTACACTTTGGGTTTTCTGCAAACCAAACCCACAAAAGGCAATTAGCCTCTTGCATTGCCAGGGTGTTTGGTTCCATGGCACCTCTTACAGTTTAATAAGACAAAGTATTTTCTTTCTTCTTCTTCTTCTTTTTAAGTCTCTAGTTTAGGGTGCCTAACTTATTTTGGTTTGCTGGGGACTTTCCTGGTTTTGCAGGTGAAAAGTCCCACATCCCTGGGACCCTTTCAGGCCGGAGTAAACTAAGACAGTTAGATACCTTATCCCTACTTGTGTAGTCATCGAGAGACTTATCAGGACTTCTGAAAACCAGCACATGCAATTGATCTGGAGTTTAGCATTTCACTTTAAAGGCTAATAAATC